ACGTATACTACTTACGGTAGTACGTACAACTACGTACGTACGTACTAGTTTAGTTACGTAGTAGGAGGGACGGACGACGACGACTACACACTACTACTACTACTACTCTCTCTCTCTCTCTCTCTCTCTCTCTCTCTCTCTCTCTCTCTCTCTAACTCTTTCTCTCTCTCTCTCTATATATATATATACACCCATCATCATTTATCCTCTTGCGCTTTCACATTTCCTCTCCCAATGTATACCCCTTTCTCTTCTCTCTCTCTTTATTCCATCTCTTTCCCCACACAACATGTTTTTTTATAACGGACCCTTCTTAGCCTTCCAAACATTATCCAAAAATAAAAAAGTTTTGCATGGTCAATCGAATTGGAAAGATCGAGAAAGGAGTGTAGGCCTAGGAGCCCTAGTGGGCCCTACGTCCCATATCAACTGGACCTCCCCACATATGGATCCTTGGTCATTGGGCCCCACGTAGGTCATAAATATTTTTAAATGCCCAGAAGAATTTGTTAATCCCCTCTTAAGTACTTTTAAATGACTCGTAAATTTTTACTACTGAAATTACATTTATTTTTATTAAAATTTATGATGCAAAAATAAAAAGTAATGTTCTTTAAAAGTTCATTTTTATAACTAACAAATTTTATAAAACATAAACAAACATGATTAAAAGAGAATAAGATCCATCGGATCAGGAATATGCAAAAATACTAAGGCACTTCACCTACACTAGCTCCCCCATGGTCCACAAGCTATATTTTTAAATTAACCCAATGGAACCCATGACCCACATTCAATGGCAGGGGCTCATCCTTGGTCCATCAAAGTTAGCCAATAAGTAATGGGAACACGGATCTAATGCGTGAATTACATGTTCATCCTAAGGACAAGTCATGTCTCACATAGACGTGCACTCCATCCCAATGGTGCAGGGGCCCTCTCTTCAGCACATGTAAATGTATTTCCCCGATGAATTGCTTCCTATAAATACAGCTATCATATGTATATACCGTGTGATCGTAATGTTGAGAATTTTTGCCCTTACCTTCACAAGCCTACAGCACACAAGAGACTGGCCACCTCCTGACTAACCACCTTGGGCATCTCTCCAGCCTCAACAAAGGTTCACCTTGTCTCCATGATTGTGCCTTATGCCAAGGGGCAAAAGGTTTTTGGACTCATCTCCCTTGCCTAGATCACGCAACTCAGGCAAGTCAACATGTACAACTAAATATGCCTATCTGGTCCCACCTGGACCACACTCCCACTAGTAGGACAATATCACTGCAGTAATAGTTTTATTAACATGCTCTCAAGGCCTTTAAAGGACACATACCCCAACAGTTTGTTTTCAACTATAACCTAATCAAGTACATACCAAGAAAAGATGCTAGTTTATGGAACTATTATGAGAAGGGACATCTAAGACAAGCTTCTATATAGCATACTCTTCAAGAAGTTTGTTTAGGCACTTAATAACACTACGCAGAATTTTTGAATGGACAAATCTTCAGCCCTTAAAGTGACACAAAAAAGCAATTTTAGAGGTATATATCAAACTCAGCAATATGAATGAAAATAACTAGTTTCAAAGCATAACATATATTCGAGAATACTTAGATGACGTAAGTGTTGTAAGTCGTTCCATTTAACTCATGAAAAACTTGTCCACTTGTCAAATAGAAACACGAAAATTCCAATCATAAACCAAGTGCAAAGAAAATTACGGAAAGAAAGCATGCAAAATAGGAAATATAAATGCCTGGAGTAATTGCATGCGATGTGTTTTAAGACAAATTTATCCACATCCACAACTAGAGATGATACCGTGATATAGATGTCAGAAATTTGGATCTCCAAGGAAAACAACATTTTGAAAGTATCACACAGTTTAACCTAAAATAATGTGAAAACATCTCCCCCTAAATTATTGAATAGATACGCACTTGTGCTGCTCCCCAGAGGCCAATATCATCCAAACAAAACATCAGATTTTTGTGGAGTTTTGCAAGTAATTTAGCCTTCTTCTGCAGCTCCTTGGGCTCTTCAGAATTCCCTCTCAGAAGCAATAAATACTGCAGTCATACAAGTAAAGAGCCCTCAAGTGATCACTTTCTTGCAAAAGGTAGAAAATCCAAGGAAATGTTAAGCTGTTCCCAATATATACCTTGTCCTTAAGTTGCCAAAGCTTCTGCCCACAAGTTAGAAAGGAGCTGCAAGTATTATCTACATTGGGATTATAGTAGTATAGTTTAATATTCGGAGATGCAATGAGACTTTCCAATTCCTCCTTGTCTTCAACAGAATGTACCTGTACTAATTGCAGAAAATGTTGAATGAACAAAGACTACAATAGCAAAATTCAATAAAATATCCAATTGAGGAAAATTAACCAAGCCAAAATTTTTCGCTGTGTAATGCTCCTCAACCCCCACCTTCGCATCGAGCAAATGCTCGAGGGTGTTAATGGATTTAGAGTAATTTGTTTGACTGGACCCACCTGGACAAAGCAACAGATGCCAACAAATAAATTTACAAAGTGATGGGGAAAAAATAAAAAAGACAACTAACATAAGACAGTAAAGACATAAGTAAATCCCCAAGGAAATACTTATATTTTTCTTCTTTTTCTTGCTTTAATTGTCACTTTAGGCAAGAGTATATGGAAATAAATTATTATATATCTTAACCCAACTTTCATAAACAGCACAGCACAAATATCTGTGTTCAGACTGCAATAACTAGAAAAAGAATGAAAGGCCCAGATGATCCTTGGGTCTATTAATGAATGGTGAGTCATGGAAAATGACAAATATATATGCCCAAGGGCAGCAATAAAAAGACTTCATCAAAGAGCTAGAGACACAAAAAAACCTTATACAAGAGCACATCATGTCCTTATGCCCCCCGCAAGCTCCTATGGATATCATGCACACAAGCTAGAGTCTCTCATGCGAAATACGACATAAATTTAACCTTGTGTCGTGGGACAAGTTATGTACACCAAAAAAATCTGGGGGCTGGGGAATAAGGAGGCGGAGAAAAGCAAATATCGCACTGGTTGGGGAAAAAGTGCCCGAGATATGTGACAAGTGATACCCAACTGTGGAAGGAGGTATTGTACTACAGCAAGTATGTGGGTGAGACAGGAATGGATGGTTCCCTAAATTCCCCCGGCATAGAGCATCAGGAGCATGGACCAGCATAGCCAATAGTATATCCCTCTTTCTTTCCAGGATGAGATTCAAAGTAGGGCAAGGGGATAGGGTAAGATTTTGGACAGACATGTGTATAGGTACCCTAACCTTAGCTGAACCGCCAGCCAATCCTCTTCACTCTTGCCTTGGACAAATCAGGTCATGTGAGGGATTATGCTGACCAAAGAGGCGGCAGGGTGGGGTGGACTCCAATTTTTAGAAGGGTTTATCACATACTAACACTCTAGATTTCTCAGCCCTACAACCTTCACTCAACTCTTTTTTGTTCCTCTAGAGGGGGAGAATCTACTCTTATGGGGCCCTACAACAACAGACTCTTCTCGGCAGTCAACGTCTTCTCATCTCTATAGCCACTTCAGGCATCCAATCCACTCCTTGGTAAAATCAATTAGTCTCCCTCTAATTGCACATGCTAAAATCCGAACCACCGACCAGCTACAAAGGAGGGTCTCAATCAACCTAATTGGTGCATTATGTGCCAACAGGGTGAGGACGACTTCCGCCCACATACTTCTTCAATGCCCAGTTATCTCTCCTCTTTGGGACCAACTTGTAGAACTCTTTGGCCTGCCATGGGTCTACCCACAGAATGTGAAGCAACTCTTTGAGGCCAACCTGCCCCGCCGCTCCCTAAAACACTCAGAAAAATTTAGAGGATGACTACTCTAGCCTTCCTTTGGACTGTTTGGAATGAAAGGAATGTACAAAAGTTCTGAGCCTGAGGCCAACCATTCTCTATCTCCTCGACCGCACCAAATCTCTCACTATATTCTGGTCTCATAGACTGCCCATGTGTGGCAATTTGGTTTCCTCACTTTTCCTCTCCAATTGGAACAACATTTTCTATTTAGTCCAAGGTCCCCTCCTCCACAGGTCAGCTGGCCCCTCTTCCACTGGGCACTTGAAGCTAAATATTGATGGATTCTCTCTCGGAAACACAGGGCACTCGGGACATTGGGGCAGTGTCTAGGACCACGAAGGTCAGATTCTGTCTTTTTCAGGCTATACAAGGCATACAGACTCCACAACAGCTGATACTATAGCTGTTATGGAGGGCCTAAAGCAAGTAATACTATAGCCATTATAGAGGGCCTAAAGCATGTTATCAACTTCACCAATAACATCAAAACCCTTTTAGTGCATGGAGAAAGTAGCAATGTCATCTCTTGGACCAGGAAAACTCAACATCCTTCGAGGCTTGCTCATTACTTAGATCACATATACTTTATTTGTTGAGGACATCGTTCGTATCTAAGCAGGGTTTTAAAAAACGTCGATCCAGATCAAAATCGCCCAATCCAGTCTGATGTCCCTCAATCTATTGGGAACCGGGCAGTTACTACTGACAAACGGACGGTTCTCTAACAAAACCGGCCGGTCCCTCCCCCGCCCCACTTAATAGGTGCAGCCTCCGACCAAATTTAAAATACCCATAACTTGACCCCATTTTATGGGCCCTTGTTCCCCAAAATTTATCCCAACTCCCCGATGTGGGGATCTTTCTTATTTTGTAAGAGAGAGAACATGCATAGGGGTGGCAACAGGTCGGGTGGGGTCTAGGTCCCAATTGGACCAGAACAAAAAATAAAAAAATATATATTTAAATATTATGCTACATATATACATGATTTATTTAAATATTATAACTAAAAATATATAATTACATTTATTTAAATATTAATTAAATACTATTAGAATATTACTTATTACATATTACTTAAATAATAACACTATTCGGGTCGGGACTAGAAGGACCCGAACTCAAATAGTGTTCGGGTCCAATATTTGGACCCGGACCCAACCCTCCAGGTCCAATATTTGGTACTCGGACCTAGGCCGGGCCCGGGTCCAATGCCACCCCTAAATATGCAAGAACAATTATCCACTATCATGCATATGCTCATTTTTAGTGTAACTTGATGATTTTAAATGAATCCTCTTCTTTTATAATCTTTATTTTTTCTCGTCACTGATTGTGTACACTATTTCATGCCATTGATTGTGTGAGCTACTATTGGAAACCAAATGAGTTAAAATTAAGCTCATCTTTAGTATTACTTGATGATTTTAAATGAAGGAAAATTGTTTCATGCGGGCTGGACCGCATTTCTACAATATGCGGTCTAGAGGAATAAAGTGTCGATCTTAAAGATGGATGCAAATAGGTGGTCCTTTTAAAAACAAGTGTAACTAATGGTCCAAATGTTTTCTTAATATAATTATTATTTCTAGTTTTCAAACAAAAAAAGTTTTCATATTCATGATCTCTATGTTAAAGATTATATATTCTCTAAAATTAAGATCAAATTATATTTAAAAAATATATTTATTGCCAAGCCCGCATTTCTACAATATGCGGGCTGGCCGCATAGAAACCGTGTCCTTAAATAAATCCTCTTCTTTTATAATCTTTATTTTTTCTTGTGGCTGATTGTGTACACTATTTCTTGTTATTGAATGTGTGAGCTACAATTGGAACCCAAATGAATTAAAGTGATATTAAATATGTCAAGAACCAACAAATAGACACTAGATTTTATAGATGGCACGTGCTAGGGAGCAAAAATCGATTTACTTCCCATGAAAATGGCATACTTTGAAAGCTTTTGCATTTGATAATTTGGGATCCATTTTAAAATCATCATATATGTATTTCCATAAAAGTAGAGGATTTTGGTTGTCAAAATTTCTTGAAACATG